GTGGGTTTGGAATTAGAAGGAAGAGGGGCCGGTGTCGGGAGTAAAGGAGGAAGTTTAGGGCCGCGCGGATTCTAAAACTAGGATTTCTACTAGTACTTCTGCCCTATGAGGGGGAAGAGTATCAGAGATCAAGGGTTGTTTTTGTTTTGGATTCGTGGGACAAAGGTTAGAAGAGTGAATAAGAGAACCACACGATTCACAAGGAATCAGCTTCCAGTCATAAACCACTTTCAATGAAAAATCCTCGCCATCAATATCAATCGGAATTTCTTCCGGCAATTTAGAATCTTTAGAAATCAAAACACAGATTCTAGCAAAATTAAGCCGAGTTCTTTTAGCTGTTAGAGAGTCAGCAGTACGAGATTTTCCAATATAACTCGCAATCTTAGAAATTCCTGAAGGAGTCCGTAGAGCAAGTGGAACATCTAAGATCTTAACCCAAATCGGAATGGAAGCTGATTCATCCCTTTTTGGTTTGAATTTGGGGGACCATTGTTGAAGAATAAAAGGTTTACCCAGAAGAAACCAGGGACCTCCAAACTAGACCATATTATAATCCTCAATGTTATTAAATTTCAACAAGAAAAAACTATCAGAAAGCGAGAGAAGTGTGAGAGTTCCTTTCAGAAGCCATAATTTTTTCATGGAAGAAAGGAGCCTCTCATAATAGGGTCTCTGACCTATGGAATATCCAATAAGAGACAAGTTCTAGAGAGAGATACCTTCCAAAAGATTGTACACTTTAAAGGACAGTTTGAGATCTAGGGGAATAAAGGACATAGGGAAAACTTCTTTTTGATTTACTAGTTTCGCAGTGAAGTTGTTCATCCATGCAGTCGGAGCAGCCGAGGAAGACAGATCGATATGGGAGCTAGAAGGAACAGGAGGGAAATCCGAAGATTTTCCAGCCATCTTCAGCGTTTGTTGACCTCATTTTTGTATGAGGTCACCTGGACCAGTCCTGACCCCAGATCAATTTAATCTCTAGACCAATCCAAACTCTAGGATCCTCCTAGAATCCCGACCTTAGGATTTATTCTAGATCTTAGGATCAATCTAGACCCCGGACCCTAGGATCTATCTAGACCTTAGGATTCTCCCAAATCAATCTAAACCCTAGGACCTACTTTAGATCCTAGGATTCTTCTAGACTTCAGATCCTAGGATCTATTCTAGTCTCCAGGATTCTTCCAAACAAATCTAGACCTTAGGATCTATTCTAGGTCCTAGGATCCTTCTAGACTCCAAATATTAGGATCTACTTTAGACCCTAGGAATTTTCTAGACTTCAGACCTTAGGATCTATACTAGACCCTATGATCTTCTCAGTCCTTAGGAGCTACCTAGACCTTAGATCAATCCAGACCTTGTGATTAATTTAGATCTCAGATCAATTCAAATTTCAAACCAATCCTGGCCTTAAGCTAACCCAGATCTCAATTCAAATCAAACCTCAATTAAAATCCAGACTCCAGTCCAGTTCAAGATCTTAATCTCCAGTTCAAACATTGATCTTGTTTCTGATCAAACTTTAACATTATCCAATTAATTATGATCCTCCAAATGATCATAAATGATTTGGATAAATCAAACTTAATTAATCAAACTCAAAATCCAGATCAAATCCAAAATCCAGACTCAAATCCTAAGTCCAAAGGCCCTGTCCTAAAGACCTTTTTCACA